TTTCTCTCTCTCTCTTTCTTTCTTTCTCTCCTTGCTCTCTCTTTCTTCTCTCTCTTTCTTTCTTCTCTCTCTTTCTTTCTCTCTCCTTGCTCTCTTTCTTTCTTCTCTCTCTCTTTCTTTCTTTCTTTCTTCTCTCTCTTTCTTCTCTCTCTCTTTCTTTCTTTTTTGTCTTTCTTTCTCTTTCTCTCTCCTTGCTCTCTTTCTTTCTTCTCTCTCTCTTTCTTTCTTTCTTCTCGGTCTCTTTCTTTCTTTCTCTCTTTCTTTCTTTCTTTCTCTCTCTCTTTCTTTCTTTCTTCTCTTTCTTTCTCTCTTTCTTTCTCCTTGCTCTCTTTCTTTCTTCTCTCTTTCTTTCTCTCCTTCCTCTCTTTCTTTCTTCTCTCTCTCTTCCTTCCTTCCTTCCTTCCTTCCTTCCTTCCTTCCAGCTCTCAAAGAAATAAAGATGCAAGAGAGAGAGAAAAGAGAGAGACAAGGAGAAAAGAGAGAAAGAAAAGAGAAGAAAGAACGAGAGGAGAAAGAGAGAGAGAAGAAAGAAAAGAGATCAAGTGAGAGAAGAGAGAGAAAGAAAGAGAAGCAAGAGAAGAGCAAGGAAGAGAGAAGAGAGAGCAAGCGAGAGAAAGAAAGAAAGATGGAGAAAGACGAGAAAGAGAGAAAAGGAAGTAAGGAAGGAAAATAAGGAAGAAAAGGAAGGAAAGAGGAAGAAAAGAAGAATGAAGAGAATGAATGAAAAAAAGAAATTGCCTTCCCTGACATCCTATAAACAAAAAGATCAAACAAGCCCACACCTGTAGCCCAATACTACTCAGGAGCTGAGGCAGGAGGATCACTGAGCCAGGAGTTTCAAGCAGCCTAGCAACAGTAGCGAGATCTCTGTCTTAACTACATGTAAAAAAAAAATATATTATCCTCCGATCCCCCCGTTCCCTCTCCACCCCCCAGGACTTATCCACAACTGGATCTTTTAACCCTTTTGCACTCGCTTTTCTCCATTCCTTATCTACTTGGACTTAATTCTTAAAATACCCAGATTACGAAGCGCGGGCAGTAGAATAAAAAACTGGAGTTCGCAGCTGAGCGGAGACCGTCGTCTTACAAAATATAAAAATTAATACCAACTAAAAAAATAGTATAACAAAAAAATAGCCGGGCATGGTGGCGCCATTCCCTTAGTCCAGCTACCGGGAGGCTGAGGCATTATGATCGCTGTATCCCCGGGAGATTGAGGTGCTGTAGCAGGCTGACCCATCACTTCACTCTAGCCTGCAACAAAGTGATACCTCGTTCTCAAAAAAAAAAAAAAAAACCAAAAAAAACTGGAGTTCTTTCATGAACCTATTTATGTTGAATTTAGAGTATTCAAATTATATACATTCAAAGAGTAATATCTCTATAATTTTTTAACCGTAGTCAAGCAATCGACACCAAGTGCAAGAGGGTGAAATTTAAATTTGTCTATTTAGGCACCCCCCACCCACATAAGCTCCAAAAGGAGAGGGATTCTTTTTTGATTTACTGCTGCAGCCCAGGAGACAACCTCACATGTGTAGCAGCCAGCAATATTGTGAATAATAAAAGGATTCTAGTGATAGATCTTAATACTCTGTCTGACACTCGTCTCAACACAATGTAAACTATTTTAACTGCGTTCTCATCTCTATAACGACTAATCATACAGGAATTTAGGCACTGTGGGATAGCCCCATGACCGAGACAACAGATTATGGGACTGAAATTATGAAATATGATAAATAACTCAATTCAAGCCACTAGTTAATATAGTCTAAATTTATGTTCTTGAGCAATGAAAGCAAATGTTTCGTTAAATATTAGATATCTAAGCAATTAAATCTCTAAGAACTCTGTCTGAAAGAGAGCTATTAATGCACTGAGTAATGCTTAAGACATCGTTATTTCAGATTATACATCACTAAATAGAGTGCCATTTAACACCTCACCTCCGCAAGCTATCTTCACAAGCTATGGACAAAGCTGTCCTTTGCCTCTCCCTCATAAAATGGGATTTGGTAATATAGAACCTGTGATATACTAACTCAACCATGTGCGATATAAGAATCGGTAGACTCTCTATAAACTATATCAATAAGATCTCTAGCCACCTTCAGCTATCGTTATCTCTAGTATTCCACGAAGCTGACATTTGATGCCTTGTGTATTTGTAGATCTTAACGGAGCAAAGTTAGATGCTTATTAAATCCTTTGATTGTGAAGATTGAGAGATCATCGTCATTCTCGCTCCTCTCAGCCTCTTATAGCAGAGAGAAGAGGGAGACCTGAGCGTAGATCATCTCACAGACAACCGCGCAAGGCCAGCTAGATCCAACACATCGATCCCACCTCACTCAAGTCGCCTCCTACGACTGTATCGTGCTGGGACTAATCTCCACTTGCGAGATTCTTGTTCCCAAGACTCTCCCGGTTGTCTATATAGCTCATTTTCTAATATACCGGGGTTGGTGAACGATTAGTTAATAAATTGCTTATATATGATATTTGTCCACTCATAGCATTTGCCGGAGTTTTTAGTTATCTCTATACATAAGTCTCGAGAGTTTTGATAACGGGGCGAGAAGCCGTTCTCGCACGTTTCGTTTGCTCAGGATCTGGTACTGAGGGTAACTCTACTTGACACTTTTATAAATTTATGACTTATCACACACAGCGCTCGTCCTAGGTTCCTCTCACTACGGAGGGTCTTCCTCTATGTCCAGTGGCTGAGATGTTTCTACAGAGGCAACGGGCTGAGCACCTGTACACATCCACCACAACAAGTGTACCTCTGGCTCTCGATAGGCGCGACACACTTTATATTTTATCTTCCCTATATTGTAGCGACAAGAGGCACCTGCTCCTCACTGAGTCACCTGGTCATATTATTAGTCTCTTTACACGACTGCACCATTGTACCTACTTCTCCTTCCTGATGTTGTTCTGTGTTCTGATCCAGTGGATTTCTATCCTCTATCGTGTGACTAATATTCTTATTTATCTACCTATGCCTATGGTCCGCCCTTCCATCAAGACTCGAGTTTCCACTTATGCACAAATTCGCGCCCTCTCTATCAGCCCTCTTTGCCCAGCGAGGACAGCAGTAAGATACTATTAGAGCTGATTCTGCTGAGCTAGTAAACAGTGTAAAGCGACGAGTCAGTATAGTATAATAGAATTAAACATTCAACGAGTACGGATGACATGTAAAGGACAATATTTTTGCAGTCTCCTGTGGGACATCAATACGTGCACCCGTAATCCAGCAGCTCGGTCTGGAATAGCCACTTCCTTGGACTGTAGAAGTCCCTCGACCCCCTGGTGAACTTTTCGTCAGCCTTGCAAAGGAGAGGAACCGACTGAGCGAACTTTGTGCGAGATTCCCTTGCTGGCTATTTACATAGAGTCGCGACCGATGATCATTAGATCTCTAGCTTCTGAGAGTGAGACCCTCGTCTCCTCTCTATTTGTCTGTACTCCAAGAAAACATGGATATAATTATAAAAGAGATATAAGTCAGTAGCTACAGATTGAGTCTAATTACGTACGACGTCGTCGAATATATATATAAAAAAACATATATCTCTAGTTTGATATCATAATGCTTCAATTTAGAGTACTTGTTGATCCTGTTCCGCCATGTGCTGAGCCCAGGAGTTGAGGATGTCGTGAGATGCCTATATTATGCTGAGTTCCCTTACTCTACCGGCTGACTGTTCATATCTGAAGAGGCGCCTAGGAAAGAATTGGCAGTATACATCATGAGCTGATGAGATTCTAGATCTATCTACACCTACAAATATTATACTAACAACCTAAAAACAGGAAGAAGGAGAAGAAATAGAAAGAACCACAAATATGCCGACAGTGGAATTGAGTTTTGGTCTTTACCATACACACGCTCACCGATACTGTGACCTTCATTTGTTAAACGAACCAAGTAGATGTTTCGATATCTCGAGTTTCATCGCGTGCCCGCGGCGCACCAAGCGTCATATAGATAGGGTCAGTCCTTTTGTTTAAGGATTTTTTAGACTCCACAAGTGCTTCCGCGTAACCTTTGTTGTATTTGTTCTATGCAGTTAAACAAGACTGTGAAACAGTCAATAGAACGAAGGCTAAGTGATGAAGGTATGCCAACACAAATTCCCAATCACTTTCTACTATTAGAGAGAACTGGATTAATGTTGACAGCAAAAGGACCATAGTTTATCCGAGTTTTCTACTCTGAAAATATGCCACGAAGCCTAACAGATAGCTCAAAATTCACCTAAACCTCACCCCTGCTCTCGCTCTTGTTGTGTCGCCACTGTCACTGGATTGGCCGTGTATCACTACTACCAAAATCATAATTTTCGCAGAGATCCGATGATTGAGATGCTAGACGCCTGTTTATACTAGTTCTCCGAATTTCTTAGGGA